GTATCTCTGGGCGTGCCCGGAGTATCTATGCGATAGTCAGTGCTGGGTGGGTGGGTGGGTCTTTGTGTTTGCTCTGTGGCACCCGGTTGCCTCGTTCCTTCTTGATTGTTTGTGAATGAATTGGCACTCCGTGGTGTTTGCTGTCGATCCATTGTGTTCTCTCTTTGGCCTGTGGCCCTATGTCGTATCCACGCACCTCATCAGCTTTTGCTTTGCAATTTTTCGAAAAACGATTTCCGGATTTGTTGCGATCCTTTGGAACCTTCGAAAATTTAATTTTTGACTTCAGTTGCATTCGTTGCAGTTCCTGTCGATTGCATTCGATTCATTAGTCTTTAATAAGTAAAGCTTTTGATGACACATTGCACTTGGATGCTTCAAATCTCCACTCGCCGGTGAGCACTGGCTCACAAGAGCTTTGAAGGGTGGGGGGCGCGCTGCACCCGCGGGGCGGGCGTGAGCAATGCCTTCCTGGCCAGTGCTGCCAGATGAGGTTCTGGCGGGGGTCAAGCTGGTTTTCAGTGACCCATTGATTCTCGGTGCTTCTTTTGACGATGAGGAGGGGGCAGGTGGGCTCTTGACATCTTTGTTTCCGGATGCAACAGGGGAGCAGATCTTAGATTGGAGGGCGGCTCTTGAGACTTGGCGGATCGACTCCGCACGTGTACTCAAGAGGGCCCGGTTGGGAATCGTAGATGCTGCTTTGTGCCAACCCCTCGCAGCCCCTCCTTCGTCAGTAGCAGATTCTTTTGTGAAGATCACTCAAACGAGTTCTCTTTGTGTCTTGGAGTTTGCAGCAAAGAAGCGCATGAAGGCTTATCGGGATGAGGCACCAGATGCTCGCGCCAGGCGTTTTGAGGAAGAGCGGAAGAAGTACTCAAGGTTGCTTGCAGCTGTGATTCAGGAGGCACGGCTTCCAGTGGCACGTTTGGTTGAGACCTTAGATGATCAGGCTTCGGGGTGGACACACATCTTTGCGGCTAGGAGAGCAAATACATTGAAGAATCGATACAAGGCATGGAAACCTTTTCGAGACTGGTTGGAACTTCATCGAGGGAGAGTATTTCCAAACTCTGTCAAAGACACTATCGACTATGTTCAACACAGGGTTGATGACGGCTGTGGGAGAACAGTTCCTGAATCTTTCCATATTTCCTTGACATTGTTGGAGCAGGTTGGAAAAGTTCCGGATTGTGAGCGCATTTCATCTGATGAACTTTGGAAGTCACATGTGAAGTCATGGACTGCCGAGCTCTCGGAGGACGCCCCGCCTCGCAAGCCTGCAGAAATGTTCACGGTCGCAATTCTCGTGTCACTCGAGCTCGTAGTGGTTGATCAGGAGTCTGCATTGTTTGACAGGGCATTAGCTTGGGTCGCATTGTGTATGGTTTGGGGCTCATTGAGATGCGATGACGTCCAGGCCATCATTCCACACAGGTCGACTTTGTCAAACTACGGACTCCGGATGGTCCTTGGGAGGAGTAAGACTTCAGGTCCTGACAAGAGGCAGAAAGAGGTTCCTGTTCACATCTTGAGGTTGATTTCATTGACCGGTGCCGACTGGTTGATGGAGGGCTTTGAGATTTGGTCTGAAGATCCTTTCAACTTCCGCAGGGATTATTTGGTTATGGAACCCAACAGGGACTTCTCTGGCGTGAGACGGAAGTTTGTTCCACCGGAGGGATTGAGTTCATTGCTGTTGAGGCTTTTGGGCAATTTGGGAACGCCTCGGATTGTGAATTCTAGGTGGGTCCTGAACAAAACCTCGCTCCTTCTTCCTGATGGGCTGGAGACTCATTTTACTGGGCACAGCCCGCGGAATTTCCTCACCTCAGTGGCCGCGACTATTGGATTCTCAAAGGATGAGCGTGCTTATTTGGGTCGATGGGCCATGGGGATGGCGGCTTCAGAGGAGTATGTCAGGACATCACGTCAAGTGGTCTTCAAGATTCAGAGGCAGGTCAACAAGGTTCTTTTGGAGGGTGGCGACATCCCGTATATGGAAGATGAGGCGGTTGAGCGGTTGTGCCAATCGGCAGAGGCTCGGTCGATCAATGTTGCGCGAATCAAACGTAGGCATTTGATCATGATTCTTGATGGAGCTAACCATTGTCTTGGGGGTGTTTTCCCTTTATTGAGGGTTCACGATGACCAGTGGGAGCTCGTTGAGGGTGGTGATGAAGAACTGCCAGATGCTCAGATTGCTATGCACGCCAAGTCAGATTTGAATCTGTCTGCACCTTCTTCGAAGTTCTTCATTACGGTTTCTTGCAGGGCAAACTTTCGCAGGCTCCATTTGGTCGGGTGCTTTGTAAAGCCGAATAAATGCTGTGAAGTCATCTTTGTAGATGAAGTCAAATCGGAAGACTTTGATTCAATTTGTCGCACGTGCAAGAGAAAGATGCTCTCTGAAGGAGGCAAGGAGGCACAGGTGGATTCGAGTTCCACGGCTTCGTCCTCATCCACCGAAGCGAGTGGTGTGGAGTGATCAGAGTTTGAGGATGAGTGAAAAGAGATGTGTGTATGTGCCTTTACTTTGCTTCTTTTTCTCTCCTTCCTTTTCTTTCAGTTTTGATCATTTGATGTTCGCATTGGCAATTTTCCGCTTGGTTTCGGCTTGGGTGCTGGGTGAATTTCTTGCTATTGACAAGTGTCCTGGGGACCCGTTTTTTGATCTAAAAAAACGGGCCCCCAGGTCACTTGTTAAAAGTGAACCCAAAGTGGAAATTTGCCAGTTCGCATGCTTTCAGAGACATTTGGAGGGTTGAGACCTAAGAGTGCTCTGGCTTTACTTGCAGTTCCTTTTGAATCCGTTCAGACGGCACGGCAGTGGGCTCAGGCTCCACCCCAGCGTTTGAGCTGGGAGATCATGATTGGTCATGGTGTTGATCTTTTGTTCATTCTTGAGTTTTGACTCTGTGTCTCAGGACCTTTGTGTTTATCTAGTGGCATGTTGAGACATGTCTCTTTTCTTTTGGGTTTAGACCCTCAGAGTTAAGACTCTGTGCACTTTGGGAAGTGCGGCATGGCAGCGCCTCTCGACGATGCGGGGCGGAGAGCATACATTGCTTCGCACATGGACTCTGACATTCAGTTCATCTTGGGAGAGTCAGGTGTTTCTGTGGCCACCCAATATAATATTGCTCAGGCATATACTACTCTTAGGAGATTCAGTGCTTTAGCCGATGACAGGGCCGGAGTCCGTCAAGCCTGTAGGGATGACTTTGCCCTTCCGGGAGATACTCCTCAGAGCAGAGCTGAGGTTGCATCGGTTGTGGTGGCTTGGGAAACGTCCAAAGAGTTCATTGCAAAAGAAGTTGAGTTGAGAGCGGAGTCAAAAGTCATGGGCCAACCACGTGTCTTGCAGGTTCATGAACGCCAAGCTATGATTCGAGCTGTTGAGGCAGTCCATGGTGCATTGAATGAAGCCGAGTCTCCATCTCAGGACTATTTGTCTTTGAAGGCTGATGAGACTGAGTGCAACGAACCTGTTGCAGCCCAGCTTGATGAGATCCTTAGTAAGAAAGAATCATCGAACGCATCAATCCAATCATCCGTTGATCCTTCAGGCCATCTTCGCGTGACACGTACGAAGGTGAAGGCAAAGATGCCAACGACAACAGAGGAGTATAGGCGGGTCATGAAGGTCGAGATGTTTGCATGGTTGTGCATGGCAGCTCGTTTTCGTTCGAAGCATTGGCTCCATGGATTGACGGCCGAACCTTTCTTGAAGTTTGTTGATTTCATCTTAGGTGATCGGGTTTGGGGGATTCAGGTTCCTTCGCAGGCCGGGGAGTCGCAGAGGCTGAAGTCTACCCCGATCTGAAAGAGGCTTATTTCACCACCCCCATTGCTCTCAAGGCCGCTACATCCCAGGAATCAGCTCCGCCCAACAAATGGTTGCGCCTCACTGACAAAGGTGGGAAAGGCAGGTGGGGGAAGGATTCAAAGGGCAAGGCATTTGGGAAAGGCGCCAAAGGAAAGGGGAAGCACGGACAGGATCAGAGGTTGGCAGGTCTCTCACTTGCTTGGCGCACACCCGACAATAGAGATCTCTGCTTTGCATGGAATTTCGGCCAGTGTGAGGGCAAGTGTAATCGCGTTCATCAGTGTAGGGTCAAGGGTTGCTATGGCGATCATCCCGCGATCCATCGCAAAGAGAAGGTTGGCGCCTGACAGGAACGGGGCTCTCATGATTCCGGCGCCGTGGGGGCTCCACAAGATCCAGGTCCATTGCCTTTTGTGAAGGTCACGTACTTGTTTGCCGGAAAGCGTAGGCAGTCAGACATCGGTTCCGTCCTCAGAGAATTTGAGAGTATGGGCAAAATTAGATTGCAGTTGCAGGATTTCGACATTGAACGATCACCGGACCATGACTTGCGTGAGGATGCATTGTGGCTTGACATCAAAACTTGTTTGGCCGAGGGTTCATGGTTTCTCATTGTTTCACCTCCATGTAACACGTTCAGCAGGGCACGTTTCCAGTTCTTGAACCACCCGGGCCCTCGACCGGTCCGGAATGTCACTTGGCCGAAAGGTTTTCCGTGGTTGAGCAATTCGAATAAGGGCATTGTTGATGAGGCGAATCAATTTGTCTTGAAGTGCTTGGACATGTGTCATGAGGCATTTGCGGCACAAGGCCACTTTATCTTGGAGCATCCTGAGGACCTGGGCATAGTCCATGGTGAGCGGCCAGGCTCCATTTGGCAGTGGCCTGAGCTTCATGAGCTTCTCACTGTGTGTTCAGCTTCTTGTTTTGCAGTGCACCAATGCCATTTCGGGGCGGAGACGCCCAAGCCGACCAGGTTTGCCACTTCGTTTCCCGTTGTTGATAGTAGGTGCCATTTGTCTTTGCCTAAGTTCGATAAGATTGGTAAGTACTTAGGCCCTTTGCCCAGGGATTGTGGACATCATCATGAAGCCAAGTTGATGGGTAAAACAGCTCAGGGCTGGAAGACTGCCCCCAGCGCAGCATACCCACCAGAATTGTGTAGATTCATCGCTCAGTTGATCCTTAATGTTAGCACATCCGTTCGGAAGGGGCAGAAGGACAAACCTCGCTCTGTTTCGGATTCGTTGGGCCATCCATCAAAGAAGCTTCGTTCGGGGAGTACACTTATGCCTCCAGTGGACAGCCAGGCGTCTTCTTCGTCATGTCTTGTGGATGTGGTTGATTTGGATTCCAAAGAGCCCACTGAACGTCATGACCAAGTCACGGACTTTGAGATGGAATCTTGCCTGAATAGGGGGAGGCCCATGCTGGCAGAATGGGACAATAAGTCGCATGAGTTCATTGATGGATTTGGACTGTGCAGCCCAGCCAGATGGCCACCTTTAGCAAGAGGTGAACGCAGGTCTTCTGAGACGCATCAGTTGGCGGCCAAAACCTTTTCCCTTCTGGAAAGATTCGTCATACAGCACATTACTGATCATCGTCTCTTAGCCTTCAAATTGGTGACGGGTAAGTTGGCATCGTCTCCATTCCCTGAAGACGAGATGCACGAGTTGCGGAAGTCTTGGGCTTCATTGCTCAAGGACCCCAAGGATGCGGGAATTGTTGATGAAGGTCAGCCATTCTATCTTCGTGCTCTCTCGCAGTGGTTGAAGGTCTTTGAAGACCCAGATGTGCATTGGTTGGTTGATGAGAGCGATTCCTTCGCCTCGGGGGTTCCCCTTGGTGTTGAGGAGCCATTGCCTCGTTCGCCACAGGTGTTTCCTCCCAAGGTGAGACACCGTAAGCTTGACGAGACCGAATTTAACCCTCTTGCAGTGAACTATCCTTCAGGTCAGTTGAGTCGCAAAGAACTGGAAGAGAAGTTCAGAGAAGAAGAATCGTTGGGACGAATGTTTCCTTCGAAGCTTTCGGTCCTTCGTACAAAATACGGTGAACACAGGGTGAGAGTGGCGGCCATGGCGGCCATTGCAAAACCGGATGGCTCAGTTCGACCTCTTCACGACGCCACCCATTCCGTTAAAGTGAATCACTCCATAGTCTACCAAGACCAAATACAATGCCCAGGCCCAGCAGAGATCGCTGCTGTCGTTCGGGAGGCTTTCGAGTCCAGAGAGGCCACCTTTTGCGTTTCGGCAGACATTAAAGCAGCTCATAGGCTTGTAAAGATTCGGGAAGAGGACTGGGGGTACACTTGTTGCCGGGCTGATTCGGCCTCTGATGTGGTCTGGGTCAACCGCACTGGCACCTTCGGGGTTTCCAGCGCTCCCTATTGGTGGGCGAAACTTTGTGGGCTCATCGGTCGTTTTGTGGGGCATTTGATGCAGACTTCTTTGTTCCTTCATATGATTTACGTCGATGACCTCCATGGTGTCTTCTTAGGTGAACGGAAATTCTTGGATCTTTGGATCTGGCTCTTGGCGTTTGAGTTAGCAGGTACGCCCTTTGGTTACCACAAGTTCAAAGGCGGCGTGGCATCAGAGTTCGTTGGATTCAATCTCAGGTACGATCTCACTGAGGTTGGGATCTCGGACAAACGTGGCCAGTGGTTGATCCGCTGGATTGTCAATGCCAAGGATAACCGTTGGGTCGTTCCGGCCAGGGACTTTTCAGAGTTCTTGGGACGCCTTTGCTTTGTCGCGCAGTTGCTTGTATGGCTGAAACCGCACCTTGCTCCACTGTTTGCTTGGACGGCGGTGGTAGGTCCTGGGACTGTGGGTCGCCTTCCAGAGGCGGTCATCCTGACGTTGCATTACATTTTGGCTGAGCTTGTTTCGGAGTCCTTCAGGGTCTCGGCCAAGGCCCCTGTGTGCCATACTCGTGAGGCCTTTAGGACGGACGCTAAGTGCACCGACACGTTCGTAGTCCTGGGGGGTTGGGAACTTGGTTCAAGGCGTTGGTTCTCCCTTAAGCTCACTAAACATGATGTCCCTTATTTGTTTCGTGAAGGGGGCGGCTCTCAGTGGGCGTCCACATCTGCTGAACTCTTAGGGACATTGGCTGCACTTCATGCGTTTGGTTGGTTGGTTCCCGCTGATGTGAGGAGGTCGACGGTTGTGTCTCTCTCCGCTGGAACGGACAACCAGGCGAACGAATCCTTGTCAATAAAGAGGTCTTCAACAAAATGGCCTCTCATGGCGATCAACATGCAGTTGTCAGCTTCGTTGTTCAAGGCCAGGTTGGGTCTTCGGTTGAGGTGGCGTCCTCGCGACGAGAATGAAGAGGCAGACGACTTGACCAATGAGGTCTTTGGGTCGTTCTCTGAGTCTCTTAGGGTTCCCCTCACCTTGCAGGACTTGGACTTGAAGATCTTGAGCTTGCTGGTTGAGGCCAGGGAAGCTTTTGATGTGGCTCGGGCCAAAGCTAAGGCTGACAAGGGTTCAGGGAAAGGTTCGCTTTCAAAACGTTTTGACAAGTCGCCTTGGTGAATCTTGCGCACTCTCTAAAGACGGGGGGGTTTGCAGTCGTTTGCAAGACCAACCAGGTCTGGCCTTCGTCTTGGGACCGTTCTTTGTTCAAGACACTTTCGATCCCAG